GGCTCAGGTCATCCTAAGCTATCTCTATAGTTATGCTGCCTTAGGCTGGGAATTCTAGAGGGCATAGGGACCCCTATTTCATCATTCTGTCTCTATTCTTTCACTCTGCAGAATCTGTTCTGCTCTCTCTGCTTTTTCTCATAGTAGCTTTGCCTCGTCTTTTCCTGTTTGGCTGTGACACCATTCTGGAGAGAAATATCAGCTGTGCTGCTGCCATCAACACCTTTGTTTATAGATGTTGGAGATCGGCCTATTTTTTCAATTCAATTCAATTCAATTCAGTTTATTTATATAGCGCCAAATTCACAACACATGTCATCTCAAGGCACTTTACAGTTCAACCAGATCATACAGTCAAATTGATACAAAGTTTTCTATCTAAGGAAAACCAGTTGATTGCATTGACTCATTGACTCAAATACAACCCCCCACACTAAGCATGCTTGTAGCGACAGTGGAGAGGAAAAACTCCCTTTTAACAGGAAGAAACCTCCAGCAGAACCAGGCTCAGTGTGAGCGGCCATCTGCCGAGGCCGACTGGGTTCAAGGAGACAAAAGCAGAGATACAAAAAGCAGCTGTAAAAGGCGGCCCCGTCCAGGAAACACACAGCCAGGCAGACGAGCTCCAAGGCAGCTCCCATGCCAGAGGACGAAGAGAGCACATCCACTCAGTCACGGTCAGAGAAACAGGACCACACTGGAAAACAGGCCGATCTCCAACATCTATTAACAAGGGTGTTGATAGAAGCAGCACAGCTGATGTTTTTTTCCAGGATGACGTCACAGCCAAACAGGAACAGACGAGGCAAAGCTACTCTGAGGAAAAGCAGAGAGAGCAGAAGGTTAGAGATTGAACTAACAGATTCTGCAGAATAGGAGAACAGAGAGAGAATGAAGCAGAATGATGAAATGGGGGTCCCTATGTCCTCCAAAAGTCTAAGCCTATAGCAGCATAACTATAGAGATAGCTCAGGATAACCTGAGCCACCCTAACTATAAGCTTTATCAAAAATGAAAGTTTTAAGCCTAGCCTTAAAAGTAGACAGGGTGTCTGCCTCACGGACTAAAACTGGTAGTTGGTTCCACAGGAGAGGAGCCTGATAACTAAAAGATCTGCCTCCCATTCTACTTTTAGAAATTCTAGGAACCACTAGTAAACCTGCAGATTGAGAGCGAAGTGCTCTGTTAGGAACATAAGGAACAATCAGATCTCTGATATAAGATGGAGCTTGGCCATTTAAGGCTTTATATGTGAGAAGGAGGATTTTAAATTCTATTCTTGATTTAACAGGAAGCCAATGAAGAGAAGCCAGGATAGGAGAGATATGATCTCTCTTTTTCATTTTCATTAGAACTCTGGCTGCAGCATTTTGGATCAGCTGAAGGCTTTTAACTACAGTTTGTGGACTTCCTGATAGTAAAGAATTACAATAGTCCAGCCTTGAAGTAACAAATGCATGGACTAGTTTCTCAGCATCACCCCTGGACAGGATATTTCTAATTTTTGCAATGTTCCTCAGATGAAAGAAGGAAATTCTAGAAACCTCTTTGATATGGGATTTAAATGACAGGTCCTGATCAAAAATAACACCAAGATTTTTTACTTTATTATCTGAAATCAGTTTAATCCCATCCAAATGAAGTGACTGGCTAATCAGTTTCTTTTTCAGAGACTCTGGTCCAAAGACTATAACTTCTGTTTTGTCTGCATTCAGAAGCAGAAAGTTAAGAGTCATCCAGGTTTTTATGTCTTCAAGACATGCCTGTAATCTATGTAATGGGTTAGCTTCATCTGGATTTATAGACAGATATAGCTGGGTATCATCAGCATAACAGTGGAAATTAATCCCATGCTGTCTAATAATTCTACCAATTGGGAGCATGTATAAAGTAAAGAGAATTGGTCCTAGCACTGATCCCTGTGGTACTCCACAGGTAACCTTTGAGCGTGTTGAAGATCTATCATTAACATGAAAAAACTGAATTCGATCAGATAGATAAGATTTAAACCAGTCTAGTGCTGTTCCTTTAATTCCAACAAAATATTCAAGTCTTTCTAAAAGAATATTATGGTCAACTGTATCAAATGCAGCACTAAGATCCAACAGGACGAGCACAGATACAAGTCCATTATCTGAGGCCATGAGAATATCATTAGTGACTTTCACCAGAGCTGTTTCAGTGCTATGATGAGCTCTAAAGCCAGACTGAAACTCTTCAAAAAGTTCATTATGGTGGAAGTGATCGCAGACTTGTTTGGCAACTACTTTCTCAAGAATTTTGGATAAGAAAGGAAGATTGGATATAGGTCTATAATTGACCAAGTCATCTGGGTCAAGAGACGGTTTCTTAAGCAGAGGTTTAATTACAGCAATCTTAAAAGCTTTAGGTACATATCCCTGTAACAGAGATAGATTAATCACATCTAAAATGGAGGAGGAGATCAAAGGGAATACCTCCTTAAATAACCTGGTTGGAACTGGATCTAACATACAAGTTGAAGGCTTAGATGAAGACAATAATTTTGCTAATTCAGAGAGTTCAACTGGATCAAAGCAGTCTAAACCCGGTTCAGATTCCATGACTACCTCAGGTACAATCGCGGATAGAGGAGTGCTTATGGTCTTATTTTTAATAAGATCAATCTTATTTATAAAGAATCCCATAAAATCATTGCTGCTAAGAGCAGGTGGAATGGACGGTTCAACAGAGCTATGGCTCTGGGTGAGTTTGGCAACTGTATTAAAAAGAAATCTAGGATTATTCTTATTCTCCTCTATTAATGAGGAGAAGTATGCTGCTCTTGCTTTACAAAGGGTCCTCTTATACAGCAGTAAACCATTTTTCCAGACTAGGAAGGACTCTCGCAGGCCTGTGGAGCGATATTTTCTCTCCAGTTTCCTAGCATTTTGCTTCAAAGTACGCAGCTCTGCATTAAACCAAGGAGCAAGCTTTCTATTTTTAACGGTTTTCATTTTCAAAGGAGCTGCGTTGTCTAAGGCAATACGCAGAGAACTAGCAACCCCATCAACAAAATCATCAACCTGTGAAGGGGAATAAGCTAAGCTTTTGCACTCTGCAGCACTGCTCAGTGACACAGAGGAGAGAGAAAGTGAAGCAGATTCTTTAAAATTTATAACTGCACTATCTGATAAAGATCTACTAAAATTGAACCTTCTTTTGGGGGAGGAGAACTCTGTTAAAGTAATCCTGAAGGTTATTAGAAAGTGGTCAGAGAGGACAGGGTTGTGAGGAAATACTGTTATTTCTTCACATTCTATGCCGTATGTCAGCACAAGATCCAAAGTATGAAGATGAGAATGCGTGGGACTATTCACATTTTGAACAAAGCCAATAGTGTCTAAGATAGCATTAAAGGCTGCTCTTAAGCTATCGCCTTCAATGTCAGCATGGATGTTAAAATCTCCCACTATGATGACCCTGTCAGTATTTAATACCAAATCAGAAAGGAACTCTGAAAACTCATCTAAAAATTCAGAGTAAGGACCTGGTGGACGATACAAAGTTACAAAAAGAAGAGGTTTTCTTGCCTTGAAATTTGGATCAGGGAAATTAAGGGTTAAATGTTCAAAAGAGTTGTAGGTATTAATTGTTTTGGGAGTAATCAGTAAGTCAGACTGGAAGATTGTTGCTACTCCTCCTCCTCGCCCAGAACTTCTGGGGATGTGAAAATTTAAATAGCTTGAAGGAGTTGCCTCATTTATGCTCACATAATCCTCTTGCTGCAGCCAGGTTTCTGTAAGGCAAAACAAGTCAATGTGATTATCACAAATCAAGTCATTAACTAGTAGACTTTTAGAGGAAAGCGATCTTATGTTAAACAGACCGCATTTAATTGTTTTAACTTTTTCCCCAATTGGAGTTATTTTGATTTTAATTAGATTATCATGATTTACTCCTTTGGGAATCTTTGCTAATTTATTAGATTTTGGTCGTGGGCAAGACACTGTCTGGATGGAGTAAAGAGTGGGTAACAGTAGAGAAGCTGCAGAGATGTGTGTTAAACTACAACTCTGCTTCCTGGTCTGCACCCTGGGTGGTCAGGGTTTTGGAGGACTAATAAATGTGGCCAGATTCCTAGAAAGAAGAGCTGCACCATCCAAAGTGGGATGGATGCCGTCTCTCCGAATCAGACCAGGCTTTCCCCAAAAGGATTGCCAATTATTAATGTAGCCCACGTTGTTTTCAACGTGTTGTTTTCAGTGTAATCCTGTTTCTCTGACCGTGACTGGCTGGATGTGCTCTCTTCATTCTCTGACATAAGAGCTGGCTCAGAGCTCGTCTGTGTGTTTCCTGGACGGGGCCGCCTTTTACTGCTGCTTTTTGCATATCTGCTTCTGTCTCCTTGAACATCAGTCGGCCTCGGCAGATGGCCGCTCATAGTGATCCTGGTTCTGCTTTTAAGGGAGTTTTTCCTCTCCACTGTCGCTATAAGCATGCTTAGTGTGAGGGATTGCATTCCAGTCAATGAGTTGATGCAATCAACTGGTTTTCCTTAGAAAGAAAACTTTGAATCAATTTGACTGTACGATCTAGTGAACTGTAAAGTGTCTTGAGATGAAGTGTTATGAATTGGCGCTATATAAATAAACTGAATTGAACTGAATTATGTTTAGTACAGTACTAATACAGCAAATCTTCAAATGTGGATTGGATTATTTACCAAGCATTTCTCAGTAGGAGCAGTGAAACTATAAAGCAGTTTTTTTTTTTTTCTGTCAATGTTCTGACATCGCTGTTCATTATAGATCTGTGAGGTGCAGGGAGACTGTGTTTGTAGAGACCCCATGGAAACAAGCATCACCCGGTTCGAGTTGCTCCATTTACAAGACTAGAGCATTGTTAAGGAAAAGAAAAGGTAAATTCAGAGAGGGGGTGTTGTGTGAAGTTATTCAAGCCTGAGTCGTTGGTGTTGGTGAAAAAAATGCACACTACAAAACTTTATGAGCAGGTTCGGTGTCTGGCCAGAAACTTCCTTTATCCACTATTCAGCTCCTGCTTGAGTTTGTTGGAGCATTAACACAGGCAGCATTGAAGGATGTTTGTTACTGTGCTGTTTGGAGGTAAAAATATTTCCTGGATTCATTTAATTAAATTGTTAATTTCTACTCATTTGACAAAGGTTATTTTGGCAGATGACAGGATGGAGATATTAAATCTTAACTGTAAACTGGTCCACTTCATTCATCATCTGAAGGAAAGATGTGGTCTGGATTCAAGCGGTAAGTTAATAAAACACTAAATGTTTGTGCCCAAAATTAAACCACCCATTTCTTTAGAAGTCACATAAACTTTTGCGACCAATTTTAATTTCCATCTTTTTACTGCCTTACAAATATTTTTACCTTTCTTGAACTTTCTTATATATTCTTATATTACAGCCACAAAGGTCAATGTGTTTTATTTGAATATTTTTTCAGGACCAACAAAAGTGCAAAATTTTTAAAATGGAAGAAAAATTATTCACACAGCAAATGTTTACCCCCCTGAGTAAATACCCTGAATAACCTTATTTTTCAGCTTGTAGCTGGAGGTCCTTGAGTTTTGTCTATACATTAATGTTTTATTTTGCCAAAGAGCACAAGCTCAGGAAAGAATCTGAGTACATAAATAGTAAAGTCTTGCAACATGTTTGAAGTGGATTAAGGTCTGGGCTTTACTTGGGCCAGCCAAATACATGCATTTACTTTGAAAACTATTCCAATGAAGAACTGTTCATCTTCTTAGGGTATTCATTGTGCTGCATCCCAGTCACAAGCTCAGCCTGTTCTATTCAATGTTTTTTTATAGCCCATCAACTTTGACCGACATGCTCACAGCATAATGCTGCAACTACAATGTTTTGTGTTTAAGAGGATATCCAGACTTATTTTAACCAAATTTTTTCCACGTGGCCGATTAGTTTTCCTTTCACTCACATCTGCCCAAAGCAGAAAACAATCTTCTGCTTTCCACAAGAGTAGAAATCAAACTGAATTTGTTTGACTCTTTTGGAGTCAGGCCACAGGCGTCTGTTCTCTCCATTATATTAATTCGGCTAGCTAATCTGAATCTTTCAGTTCCATTTCAAGAGCGAGATCATCTGTGGTAGCAGCACTAGACATCTTCCAGGCATGTAAGTAAAACAAGCAGTAGTTCAGCGAACAGGATGAATGAATGGTAGCCGGCACGCGCAGATGACGGGGGAAAAAAAATCAAAGTGGACTGCAATGGTTTTAGAGCAATGCAAATCAGTTTCATGTCAGTGGACCCAATATGTTGTTGGCTTTGATCAGTTGCATCTTTCAGAGCTGTTCTTGAGGAATCCAGGTCCACAGAAACAGAGACTTGGTCACAAGATGGATTTTGGCTTTCTGTGAGCGTTTTTGTAAGCTATCTGAGCTGTGGTCAGTGAATATCTGGTCAGATGAATATCTGGACGTATGATAAGTGTGTTAGTGGCAGAGTTACTCAGCTACAAGTGTCTTATTGTTTTTAAGGCAGGGGGTTTCTTCCAACCAAGGGGTCATCCAACCAAGCTTTAGATTTTAGCAGCTCCTCCAGATTTAGCATTGATGTCTTCCTCCCACAGTCCAAAAACATGACTGTTAGGTTGATTGGCTTCTCTAAATTGTCCTTAGGTGTGAGTGTGTATGAATGGTTGTTTGTCCTGTGTGTCTCTGTGTTGCCCTTCGATGGACTGGTGACCTGTCCAGGGTGTACCCCGCCTCTTGCCCATTTACTGCTGGAGATAGGCACCAGCACCACTCGGGAAAAGTGTGTAAGAAAATGGATGGATGGATGGATGGATGGATGGATGGATGGATGGATGGATGGATGGATGGATGGATGGATGGATGGATGGATGGATGGATGGATGGATGGATGGATGGATGGATGGATGGATGGATGGATGGATGGATGGGTCTTGGTTGCTTTTCTGCTAGAAGTCATTCTTGCCTGGCCTCACAGTTTGCTCTGTGTTGGTATGTTGCAGCTGTTCCAAACTTTTTTCCATTCTACCATGATGTATTGAAGCAAGCTCTGTGAGATTTCCAATGCAACAGATAATTGATAACCTTATCCTGCCCTGTTTCCACAACTTTCGCCCTGACCTGACTGTTATGTTCCTTGTTCCTCATAATGCTGTTTGAGTTTGTGATTTTCCTGTAATAATACCCAAGAGGTCTATAGAAACTTTAACAAAAAAATTATAAAAATGAAGAGAAAAATCAACCTGAACCAGATTGAAATCTGAGCTGTTTTTTTTTTTCTTTTACAAACGAGTAGCTTTTCTTTGTTTCACTACAGTAAAATAAACTTTCTCCTGCAGACTGTGTGGAGCTGATGGACAGCACCGGGAGGGTGATGAACCTGGAACCCATGCAGCACAGCATGGCCCAAGCCAGCAGCGTCCTGGCAGAGAGGCAATGCTACATCCTTCTGCGTGTCTGCCGTGAGTCTGTCTGCTCCATCCATCAGCCTGTCAGGTTGGGTGGAGGTTTTGAGGACCCAAATGCAGAGAGGAGTAGGCGTGGATGAGTCTGGATGGTTTAATGAAAGTCCAAAGAGGCAAAATCCAAAATACGAAAATACTGAAAACCGAATAAAACCAATATATGTCAGGAAAAATACTTGAGGGAAGCAAGAGACTAAAAAAAACCATCTACAACACACAAGAAACCAGCACTGAATGAAGGCTCTGGTGCTCTTTTAATCCCAGCACCATGATTTTAAAGATTACTTTCACCTGTGTAGGCTACACAAGTTCTCCACAAAGATCCTCTATATAGAGATGCACAGCTCGCACACACAGGAACCCTGACACAGCCATTCTGAAAGGAACAAATTAATGCATTCTTAAAGCTAAATCAAGTTAACTATGGCTCGCCAAACAATTAGATTCCATTGGAGGTTCCCTAATGTAAATGAAAACACTAAGAAAATGAGGTTGCTTTTCAGGAATGAAACACTGTGCATGTTGCAGCCCAGATGTATGTCTTTGAACTCAGATGATGCAGAATGACACAGGCTGACGGTAATTGATGTTCTTGATCACATTTTCCCCCAGAAGAGAATGAGGAATCTGGAGGTTGTAAACATGTCTCTCTCCTGAATAACGCCAAGAGTCACCCTGAGTTAACAGGTAATAAAGACTGTCATAAGTGCGAGTGGCTCATTGGCGCCCTTTTCTGGTCAAATCATGGTATGACATTTAATTTTTGCAGGACTGATGAAGAGACTTTCAAATCCAAGCAAGGTGTCAGAAAGAAAGAACAAAAGAGGACGAACACAAAGAAGTAGAAAAACATGTAATACTGACAACAATAAGTATCCTTAAAAGTTTATTTGCTTGATTAGGTTATATGAACCTATTATTCATTAGCTGGAACAGGTGATTTGCTAATCAATGGCTGAACTCCCCCTTATAACCTAAACTAAAATATTATACATAGAGATTTAATAATGAGTAGTTTGTTAGTAATGTAGGATACAATTTTAGGAGGTCATGCCCTCATAAACTAATTAAAACTTAAAACAAAAAACAAACTTACCATCACACAAAGTTTACTGACTCATCTCTATGTTCTCTCCTGACTGTCTTGCTTACTTTTTTCTCTCATTACTGTAAGAGACTTACAGTTATGTAGGTTAATCTAAAGATACATCCTATTGGGTTATGTGACTGATTGACACCAAGTTGTGCAGAACTTTTTGGTGGAAGGAGGATGGCTTAGTCTTGCTTTTTGCAGACAAAAATCTGAAAAGCATGTGGCGTATTTACAAATGAACCAAGACCTTGCATTTCCATCTCTTGTTGCTGTTGTGCCATATGCCATTGGGAACCAGTTTTCATGTTTCATCTCGACATGATGACCCGATAAGAAGCCGCAGCTTTGGTGAATAAACAGCTGTGGAATCTCTGAACCCCCACCCCCAAACCCCACCCCTCCCTTTACAGCCAAAAGCAGTCACAGGACCTTCCACAGAGGGTTGACTTGCCAGCCCCCTCTCTGTGAAGACAATAAACCACAGAACACAACGAATTCTTTCGTCTTTTCCTGCTCTCTTGCACATGAAGCTGGGGTCTGCTTTGGCAGGATCTCTGGCAAGATGTAGATCCAAGGCCTAGGGGGACCCAGCTCTCCAGAATCATTACGGATAGGTCAGAACCTTTCACAACCAAACTGCTGCAAAACAGACCATTTGCAACACATTTCTTTTGAGTTTCAGAACTTATAGAGCCAGACTGGATGAGAAGGCCTGCCTTGATGAGCCACTGAGACAAAGAGGACCCCTGCTGTGAGCCACTGAGACAGAGAGCCTGCCTTGCTTAAAGCCTGCCTGCCAAACTCAGGCTGATTGGAAACTCAACCTTCCAAATTGAAATGGACAAAAAGGTTTGCAGGTCTTGCATAATTAGGGACAGAACAAAAGTATGTCATTTGATGATGTTGATCATGTGTTCACTGATGACAAGCTAACAGGATGGACTTCATGCTCCGCTATGCTATACAGAAACATGTTTTGAGCTGTTGTTAAAGCTTGGACAAGCTTTATTTCACTAAGGGTATAAACACTGATATAACATTAGCGTTCATGTATTCCTTTAATGCTCATTACATTTCAATTAGCAAGTATGACCAAAAGTCATTTAGTGGAATCCTGATGTATATATTCGCTGCTAGCTATTTCAAAGAGGGTAAAGAATCATTTGACTAAAGGTTATTGGTTCTTGATTAAGCAAGTCATTTAATAAAACATTATATGGCCAAATGTTTTATTCACCTCATGGCTTTGGATTGTGAATCGGTCTTAAAACATTCCTTGTTTCTCTAAATTATTGAAAAGCTAACTTGATCATACCCCAAATTCTTCAAGATAAACGTTGTTTTTTAAACCCAAAATCCATTTTAAACTGTAATATTGTTTTCAACCATGTTTTCCCTTTCTCTTTGTACATAGTAATTTAGTTTGGTTGAGGTTCACTAGACTTAGTTAAGAGTTTTAAACAGAAATATGTTCGACTTGTAGCTGAATGATTGTTGTTAATAAACTCTTATATTTTGAACCGAAGTTGTAGTGAATTTATTCCATGTATGTGCGGAATTAACTGTACCATGATTAGTGCTCGAATCACCCTTTCATTTATTGTTCTAACACACAGCTAGTAGGGCATGTGTTCATAAACAATATATAACAGCCAAAATAATATCTGATTAAATAAGATATTTTTCCGGCATCAGAAATATAAATTCCCAGCTGGCTGGGAATTGCATTGAAAATAAAATCACAACATTGCAGTTGGAATACACATTTTAGTATTGTTTCTCATACAGAAAGGTAAAACTGTTGCTCATTATTCTTACACGTTATGCCACAGACACCTGATTGGATTTGATTTAATTCAATTCAGTTTATTTATATAGCACCAATTCATAATACATGTCATCTCAACACACCTTACAGAGACAATTCAATCAAATCATAAAGTCAAATTGGTTCAAAGTTAAAACCAACTACTTGCATCAACTTTACAGCAAACCTTCATGTAGTGACAGTGGAAAGGATAACTACCTTTTAACAGGAAGAAACCTATAGCAGAACTAGAACCAGTATTAGTGGACTTCCTGATAGTAAAGAACTACAATAGTCCAGTTTGAGGTGAAAAATGCATGGACTAGTTTTTCAGCATCACCCCTGAATAGGATCATTCTGGAGATGAAAGAAGGAAATTCTAGAAACCTCTTTGATATGGGACACCAAGATTTTTTACTTTATTATTTGAAATCATCAATTAATCAATTAATTAATTAATCCCATCCAAATGAAGCGACTGACTAATCAGCTTCTTTTTCAAAGACTCCAAAGACTATAACTTCTGTTTTGTCTGTATTCAGGAGCAGAAAGTTAAGAGTCTTCCAGGTATTTACGTATGTCTTGATGAGATGCCTGTAGTCTATGTAATGGATTAGCTTAATCTGGATTTATGACAAATACAGCAGAGTATCATCAGCATAACAGTGTAAATTAATCTCATGCTGTCTAATAATTCCACTGATTGGGACTATATATGCATTGTTAAGAGAATTGGTCCTGGCACTGCCTCCTGTGGTACTACACAGGTAACGTGGACAACCTGAAATCTGTTAAGTAAAATTTAAACTGGCCTGTTCCTGTAGTTCCTACAAATAATTGAAGTCTTTCAAAACTAATATTATGATCAACTGTATCAAATGCAGCACTGAGTACTAACTGGACAACTACAGATACAACTCCACTATCTGAGGCCATGAGAATATCATTAGTGACTTTTACCAGAGCTATTTCAGTGCTATGATGAGCTCTAAAACTAGATTGAAACTCTTAAAAAAAAAAATAAATAAAAAAAATATGTGATCACACACTTGTTTGGCAACTATTTTATTTTATATTCATATAAAATATATTTGAATGGGCATAGCAAAAAACAAATTCTTGCTCTCAAATGTATGTTTTGGGTCTTTTTTCTTGCTTGAAGGTAGCTTTCCCTCCATCTCTTTGCTAAAGAAACACATAATAACATTACACTATTATCCAAACCATATATTAACAAATCTCTTTTTATTTTTAAATGACAATGGAGAACCATGTTTCATATTCCTCTAATTTCACAGTTATACATTATCACAGAAAAGGATGTGTGCAAGAGGTGGAAATGTTTGAGACATTTGAATTTAATTTGTTTTTTTAATTGAGTTTTGAATTAAACAGAACAAGATTGTATATGTAAAAAGGGCCTGAATCTCACTTTGTAAAATTCTCTGCATTAAATAGCATGTTGGAACATGACTGAATTGTTCACAACTCGGTACGAATTTTCCCTACTTTGTCCAATAAAGGGTAGTGTGGGATTTTCATTGTGAGTTGTAATATAAAAGATACAAATATTCACACCATGTTGTTAAATCCAAGATCAATTCTTTACATTCTATATCCTTGGCTATTCATGATAAAGTTCATATATGGAGAGCAGAAGCATAACACTGGTAAATTTATCAAAAGACAGCTGCAACAGAGAGTGGACATTTACAGCCTGAGCATGTAGGTGAAAAGCCTGACAAACCTGTTTGCATAAAGGGCATCAAAAGGGTGTCCGTGTGTGTGTCCGTGTGTGTGTCTGTGTGTGTGTGTGTGTGTGTGTATGCAAAGGTTATCCTAGGCTAGCAATTTTTATGCACTACGGAGGAGGAAAGGGAAGCTTTAATTAGTTACAACTTAGACTTTTAAATATAACTAACATGTATTCTTCTCCTTGCCTTTCTGAATGTCTGCAGCTAACCTGAGGCTCCACTCTTAAATGAAACCAGAATTGAATACTCAAGTTAAAAAAACATGGTTCCTAACAGAGCACTTCGCTCTCAATCTGCAGGTTTACTAGTGGTTCCTAGAATTTCTAAAAGTAGAATGGGAGGCAGATCTTTTAGTTATCAGGCTCCTCTCCTGTGGAACCAACTACCAGTTTTAGTCCGTGAGGCAGACACCCTGTCTACTTTTAAGGCTAGGCTTAAAACTTTCCTTTTTGATAAAGCTTATAGTTAGAGTGGCTCAGGTTATCCTGAGCTATCTCTATAGTTATGCTGCTATAGGCTTAGACTTTTGGAGGACATAGGGACCCCCATTTCATCATTCTGCTTCATTCTCTCTCTGTTCTCCTATTCTGCAGAATCTGTTAGTTCAATCTCTAACCTTCTGCTCTCTCTGCTTTTCCTCAGAGTAGCTTTGCCTCGTCTGTTCCTGTTTGGCTGTGACGTCATCCTGGAAAGAAACATCAGCTGTGCTGCTTCTATCAACACCCTTGTTTATAGATGTTGGAGATCGGCCTGTTTTCCAGTGTGGTCCTGTTTCTCTGACCGTGACTGAGTGGATGTGCTTTCTTCGTCCTCTGGCATGGGAGCTGCCTTGGAGCTCGTCTGCCTGGCTGTGTGTTTCCTGGACGGGGCCGCCTTTTACAGCTGCTTTTTGTATCTCTGCTTCTGTCTCCTTGAACCCCAGTCGGCCTCGGCAGATGGCCGCTCACACTGAGCCTGGTTCTGCTGGAGGTTTCTTCCTGTTAAAAGGGAGTTTTTCCTCTCCACTGTCGCTACAAGCATGCTTAGTGTGGGGGATTGTATTTGAGTCAATGAGTCAATGCAATCAACTGGTTTTCCTTAGATAGAAAACTTTGTATCAATTTGATCTGGTTGAACTGTAAAGTGCCTTGAGATGACATGTGTTGTGAATTTGGCGCTATATAAATAAACTGAATTGAATTGAAATTGAATTGAATGGTCACCCAATCAGTGGCGGCTAGTGGCGTTTTCTCAGGGGAGGACATAAATTCAAAATACTGTACAACAAATACCAAAAACCAATCAAACCTATACTAAGTTATCACAATAGTATATTTATATAAATGCCAACAACAAAAAACACTTAAAGTCTAACACAACTTAAACACTATAAAAAAAAAACATAATTTAATGTACATGTTTACATTTTGTACATAAATCTTGGCCTTCTGAGGCTTTGTGACAAAATATTGTGTCACAAAACAAACAATTTTTTTTTACCAGTTTAATAATGGAGAAGCTATTAGTCAGCTTTATATTTTTTTAATATATAAAAAAACAATTTATTTTCTGAGAATGTGTTTATTTAAGAGCAACAAAGCAAATCAATAAACATCTAGGAAAAGTTCACAATATTATTTCATTTTCCATGTGAATCCCAGATTGTACCCTGCGATGGACTGGCAACCTGTCCAGGGCATACCCTGCCTCTCGCCCGTAGACAGCTGGAGATAGGCACCAGCACCTCTGACGACTCCCTTCGGGATAAAAGCGGGTCAGGAAATGGAGGCAGACAGTCAAGGCAGCAGAATAAAGCGATAGTCTCACTACATGCAGTTAGCCAAGCCTTATAGCTAAACCAGAT